GACCCCCAAGTGACTCAGGTGGTGGCAGTCAGGCGCTGGTGATAGGGGTCGTTGTCGGAGTCGTGTTGTTCGTCACCCTATTAGGGGCATGCGCATTGTTTTGCCTCTGCAAGAAGAAGAATAAGAAAAGTAAGTCCGATTACTAGGCAGCAGATGTTAAATTGAGCCATCTTTAGTTATCAAAGAACAAGCAAGGTAGCGAAATGCAACCCTGGGTGCATATTCTGCATTTTGTCGACCATTTATGGATATTTCGTGATTTTACGGGCTAAATTTGCAGGATGATGTTTTGCTTTTTTCCCTTCATAACATTCCGTAATACAAAATAGTTTACTCAGAGATTAGAACTTAGGTTTGTGATTAATCTTTCCCTGGTTTATTCCTAACCTGGTTAAGACAAGATTTGGTCAGGATCGATAGATAGCCTGGTTTTCGAGCGGTGGTCAAAGACAGCCTTAGAAATTGCTTTAAATATCTATGCATAATCCATTTCCATATTAATACTCACAGAACACTCTATATACAGGCTATAACAGTGGCTCAGCCCCTCAAAGCTGGAAAAAACAAGGAGGGGAACACAACATCAAGATGCCCCCGCCACCATTGGGTGGCGGTGGCTGGCAACAGCACGGCCCTCCAGCACCAATGAGCGGCGACATGACCTCCTCAAACTACTCTGGTCCCCACGGGCCAGTACTTCCACCTCCATCACCCAACATTGCCCTCGGCTTCAACAAGAGCACCTTCACCTACGAAGAGGTTGCAGCGGCTACTGGCGGATTTTCCCAGAGCAATTTGCTCGGTCAGGGCGGATTCGGGTATGTTTATAAGGGAGTCTTGCCTAATGGGAAGGAGGTTGCGGTTAAGCAGCTTAAGGCTGGGAGTGGACAAGGGGAGAGAGAGTTCCAGGCAGAGGTTGAGATTATTAGTAGAGTTCATCATCGTCACCTTGTGACTCTTGCTGGGTATTGTATTGCTGAGAGTCAAAGGATTTTGCTTTACGAGTTTGTTCCTAACAAGACCCTTGAGTATCATCTCCATGGTTAGATTCTTCACTTGCCTAGTTCTTTTAACTTTCTTGTTTAAATTTTTTTTTGAGATGCATGTTCATTTGGAATAAACGAAAACCCATGTTTTGTTTTGTAATGTTGGCTGATATATCGCTGATGTAACACACACCCAAGTCACTTTTGTCAAGATGATCAAAATATCCAGGTCATAGCTGATGGCTTGGTTGTGTGTCACGATAGCAGCATACCGGCCAACAATGTAGAAAGACTCAAATACCCGTTTACTATTTTTCAATCCATTTATATTACATTTCATCTTGGTCAGCAGATGATATTTTCGAGTAGTAACATGCATACATCATTTTCATTTAGAAGTTGTTAAGAGTTAAGGATGAAGGTATTCATGAACCTGTCAGGCATTAACAATTGGATTTGTCTGTGAAATTATTTTTGTAGGAAAAGGTCTTCCAACAATGGACTTTCCTACAAGGCTCAAGATTGCAATTGGATCTGCAAAAGGGCTTGCATACTTGCATGAAGACTGTAAGGAGTTCAAGTATTCTCCCTCTGGTTTCATATACAAATATGCTTGCATACTAACATTGTTTTCTCTATTGTTAACTGAAGGCCATCCTCGGATCATCCATCGTGACATCAAAACTGCTAACATTTTACTCGATTACAAGTTTGAAGCTATGGTAAATTGAACAATAACCTTACCAAGTTTACATGCAATTTATATTTCCAATGCAGAATCTAAATGACTTAATGCTTACATATATATGATCAGGTTGCTGATTTTGGACTGGCTAAGTTGACTTCCGACACTAACACACACGTTTCAACACGAATCATGGGAACTTTCGGGTGAGTTAACAGAGTAATATAAACTTTAACTGCAACCATTCAAACTCGTATGACAGCCTCAATCATCTTAATTTAACATCTTCGATTGCTTGCAGGTATTTAGCTCCTGAGTATGCATCAAGTGGTAAGCTTACCGATAAATCTGATGTCTTCTCCTACGGTGTCATGCTTCTTGAGTTGATAACTGGAAAACGGCCTGTTGATCATACTAACAGAAATGAGGATAGTTTGGTTGACTGGGTTAGTAATTTGTTTATATAACTTACATTTGCATGGGGATGTCTATATAAGTTAAACTAAAAATAGTGATGTTGAAACAGGCAAGACCTATGTTAGGACAAATATTAGCTGAAGGGAACTATGAAGAGATTGTAGATCCGAAACTAGAAGGAAACTACAATACAGGAGAGATGGCACGAATGATATCATGCGCCGCTGCAAGTGTTCGCCATTCTGGACGTAGACGTCCTAAAATGAGCCAGGTATATATGTATCGTTTCCCTGTCGTAATCTGGACACAAATTCTTGCTAAGATGATAGTTGCGTGTTTTTTATCCGTTTCATGATTCCTAATCACGCAAAATAATTATGATGTATAAATCCATCACTTAAATATTGTAATTTTAAAATTTTAATATTGACCCATAAATCTTTCAATATGTGTAATTACCATATAGAGAAAATTACAGGAGCTTTACAGAGTTCATGAGGTTTCAAAAGTTACATTCTCGACTCTTCATTTCAATTTCTACAAATTTTGGATGAACATCAGGATATAACAATTATCTAGATTCCCAACAAAAATGAATATGAGTTTTATGTTAAAAATTGATTATTTCAATACGATTTTTTTTCTGGTTTACAATCAGATCGTGCGAGCACTGGAAGGTGATGCTATCTCCTTTGACGACCTGAACGATGGTACAAGGATTGGACAGAGTTCACAATTCAGTTCAGGCTCAGAATATGACTCGAGCACATACTCATCCCAAATGAGACAGTTCCAAAAGGTTGCACTAGCCAGTGGCCAGTTTACTGGAGAATACAGTGGCGTTACAAGCGAGTATGGACTGAACCCTTCGGAGTCAAGCATCTCCTCTGGTGAAGTTCACTTTGGTGCGGGTCGCAGGCCTCATGAACAAGTTTGAGCAGAAAAAAGGAAAGAAGATGAGAATGTTTAAACTTTAGATTTATCTGTATGTGATTTGGATCCCAATGCTTAATTTGAACGTGTTTTGGAGGGGTTAAAGGTGGGTAGAGTGATGATTTGCTTACTTGATGTTGAAACGAGTTTGTTCTGATTGTTTATGTTCTTTAACTTGATGGAATCAGATTTTGTTGCTAACCTTCATGGAATCTAAACCCTGTGATCTCTATAAGAATGAACTTACAAAGAGAATAAATATACAATGATTAATCGATCAACTTCCGTCAGCTGAATTGCCATTTCATTTCCTTTCTTATTCTGGTATTAAGAGATGAGACGATGAAGGATCCCTCAATCTTGAGTTCAATCAAGCGAACTCAACACATCAGATTTTTCCCTAGCATAAACAGAAATTATACGTTATGCATCTCAATTTTCCATGTTGAGTGAGACTAGCTAGTAATAAGTAACATGATGCTCAAAAAATAAACTTTCTCAAAACAATTGCTTAACTAAAGAAAAGAATAACAACAAATTTCTATTTCCAGCTTCTCATTGATGAATTGACAACAAAAAAATTTCTCTTCTTCTTATCAACAAATTAAAAGCACACAGATAAATACCGATTCAAGTTTACCGAAAAAAAACAAAACCAACAAAATTGTTCGCTCTAAACAAACATCGTTAAAAGTTGATCAGCCTCTGAAAAATATTCAAGCGCCCGCTTCCTCTTTTTTCTCCTGCACCTCCTGCTTCTTGTTCCTTTTCTCCGTCCTCGCGTTGAGCTTGATCCTGCATATCGCCCAGTTGTCAAACTGCAACAAGAAAAAAAAAAACATCAACAAAGTCAGGAAACAAGCTAAAAGAGATCAAGATTAATCAGAAGTAATTAAATAAATCAACAAGTACGTACGTAGGTAATTAATATATATATACGTAGAGTACGTACCTTTGACCCGTGATCACCAGCAAGAGTGTATTCGTCCATGACCCAGTTTGATGAAACCTTCTCGTTATCTTTGATGTAGCAAAGATGGTTCACGTGCCCCATCACGCGCCCGCCCTTGCCGGTCACGACTTTTTCCGACCCGTTCAGCTTCCACGTTCCGGCGCCGGCTCTGCGAGCCACCCTCCTACCGGTCCCCTTGCGCTGGGTAATGTAGTACGTCTCGCTGTCAATGCCGTAACGAGTAGCCTCTGAATTAATGAAGCATCAACAAATTAATACGTCGGTCAAGAATTACTCAATTTATGTAAAGATTTTGAGTACGTAGAGGTTAGCGTAGACGTCGATCGATACTCACTTGGGAGGTTCCAGGGCTCAAAGGAGTATATGTTGACGTCGTTGATGACACCACCCACGCCGGGTCGAATCCTGCCGTTGAGGATGTTGACGAGGTAATGGTCGACGATCTCCTTGTCCGTCGGCACAAACTTCATCCCCGGATACTTCATCAGCTCCATGGCTATGGCTCGGTCGCTTGGGATCGATCAACCGGACGGCGAAGCGATTGAGAGAGGAAATAAGTAAGCGATTGAGATCACGGTTTGTTTATATAGGATTAGGGTTTAGTTCAGTGCAGGGTATTCCTATTCAGGATCTGAGTCAAGTTTAATTTGTTCGTTGGATTTTCCGAGTCCTGGTTGATCTGGGAACCTGCATGTTTCCTAATTCATGATCATGATTAATGTACCGTTACGAGGTCGGTTTGTCCACAGTCTCAACTAGTAATTAGTTTCATTGAATTAATTAGAGACTTGGGTTTTAAGTTTCTTAATTTGCTCACAAAAATATCATTGCCCTAAAAAGCTTAGAATCTAGTAATCAGAGCGCGGTCAAGTTTCAGTTCTTCGACTTCCCTAATTCAGTCACACGTTAAACTAACTTTAAGAGATTTGGGGGACATAATAGCAATTTCAATGATTTGAGCACTAATGCAATTTCAAATATGAAGTAGTTTTTCCATAAAAAACACCTTTAAAATCTTGTCCAAAAAACATGTTTCACTTTAAAGGTGGTTCATGTATAAATTAAACATCAAATGTGGTTTATGTAGAATGAGCTTTTTTTAATAGTTGTTTCTATGGGGAAAAACTGTCGTGAGTAGGCTCCGAAAATCTCCATATTTTGAAATTAGCCTCGCAAGTACATGTTTTAATTTTTTTTTTGAAATAATTAGTCTATTTCCAACATTTTAGCATTCAAATCTTTAATCATGACTAGTTAATGTTCAACTAAGTAAGAGTAGTTACTAAATTTTCCTGGTGAAATAAATTGTCCAACTAACTTAGCAGCCGCCGCCACCCCCCTTAAGAAATATATGACCTATGTGTCATATATTAAATTGAGTATAAGGTTTTAAATAATATTAATACTATTATGAGGATTATTGGTTAATTAATTTATGGAAAAGCACTTAATATATTAGTCTATATTAATTAATGACCAAGTAGTTAGTTAACAAACACCCATGTTTTTATCATGTTGATGGAACATGTGTGGGTGGGTAGTTTTATTAACTACCGAAAAGTTGCTCCTCTCTCTCCCTATAAAGAAACCAAAGCATAGAGTTTCTCTACAACATCAATTAACAGAAAAAGAAAAGGGCTTGGTTTTAAAGAAGGATTAGAGAGAGAAAACAATCTTCTCCAAGGTCTCAATTCTCTAAGGGTTCATAGCATTACTCAAGGTATGATCTCAAAACATCTTATATTTGTGATTATCACGAAGTTCTATGATCCATGTCTTCTAATTAATTATAGAGGAATTATGATTATGTTTACATGTGGTATCAGAGCATAGTTTAAGAACTCATGATTTTCCAATTAAGATTATTATGAACTTAATATTAAAACTGGGAAATTTAATCCGCTGCTAATATTTACAATTGACATATGATCACATTTGATTGTTAAGATTAGGTTTATTTAGGTTACTTATGTAAAGTCGCATGTATACATGTTTAGGTTACATGTATATAGAATAATACCTTTTCGTTAAGATTCTGTAATGCTATGATTTGACAAATAAATTGTTTGTAAACATATGTTTGTGATTGGCTAATTGAAACTAACTCCAATTCACAAAATATGTTGGTACTGTACTGATTTGGAAAAATCCAATGATACATGTATTTAAACTACCATAACCATTTAATATGTTATCTTAACGTTTCAATTTTATGAATTAATGATATACATGTTACTGTCAAATCGTAGCAGTTAAACATGTGATATACATATTATTGTCAATTAATGATATATATGTTCAAAGAAATTTTGTATACATATTGGTTAATACCTTTTGATATTACATATACATGTATGTGAATGTTATTACCATTAACCAAAAACAAGAAAAAAATATTCGAATTTTTTTTATTCAAACCCAAGACCCCTACTAAGGCCCTTGTCCAGATACTTGTCAAGATACATTAATATGGGGGATTTGATCCTTGGACCCCTCACTTCACACCCAAAACTCTTACCACTAGGCTACTCCATGTTGGTTCATTTGGGTATGTTGTATTATACTACTTATGATGTTTACAATGAAAAGATGCAAACAAGTTATTTATTATTGTTTACAGTTCATCAATGTGAAACACAATTGAAAGAAAATAGTTCAATATGATGTTTATATGAACAATATGAGAAAACTTTGACAATTTAAACTATATATTGTCAGTTACCAAAGTGGCCAATATAGAAGTTTGAAAGGAATTGTATTATAAAATTATTAAGGTTACCCACTTATATTGATGCTTATAAATGATTAAGGGTAATTTTAGTTCATTATTATAGGACGTTTTAATCACCCAAAGGTGGATTAGTTGTTCATATAATTAATGAACATAATTGTTAGCATATAGTATACTATATTAGTTGTATTTTTATATCCAAAGATGTTAAATATTTCTGAGTAGAGTATGCATGTGATTGCCAAATTATTGATTCTTTTAGCATCAAAATTATTATTGTATGTCTTTGTATCACCCAAAGGAGAACATTGATATACATTTATTGGTTTGAATCTGTTTTATGTGTTTACAAATAAATGTTTTAATGTTGAGTATTATATAATTTTGCAGTATCTGTTCCAGTTGCTCTTCATTCGCATGCTTCGTCTGTTACATTGTTTAATGGACATAACTTCCCTGATTGGTGTGAGCAAATTCGATTCCATTTGGGTGTATTGGATCTGGATTTGTCACTTCAATCAGAGAATCCAGCTGCTATTACTGATGCTAGTAGCGATAAGGATAAAATCTTCTATGATGCTTGGGAAAAATCGAACATACTGAGCCTAATGTTCATGCAAATGAGTATTGCAAATAACATCAAGTCAACTCTTCCTATGATTGAAATTGCTAAAGAATACATGAAGTATGTGGAAGAGCGCTCTCAACCGGCAGATAAGTCTCTAGCAGGGACATTAATGACCACCTTAACTACCATGAAGTTTGATGGTTCTAGGGGCATGTGTGAGCATGTGACTGAAATGACTGATGTAGCAACAAAGCTTAAGAATTTGGGGATGGCGGTAGATGAGAGTTTTCTGGTGCAGTTTATCATAAACTCATTGCCACTAGATTATAGCACCTTCCAAATGAACTACAATACCATGAAAGATAAATGGAATGTGAATGAGCTACAAAATTTTCTAGTTCAGGAGGAAAGAAGGCTTAAGAATAGAGTAACTCACGTCATTCGTCTCCTTGGTAATCAAGGAGCTGAAAAGAAGCCTAGAAATAAGAAATGGAAGGGTAATGGGCCACTTAAGGTGAATGGTTCTTCCTCCAAAAACCACAAGAAGGATTTCAAGAATGACAAGTGTTGCTTTTGCGGAAAGCATGGCCACTTTAAGAATGATTGCCTGAAACGTAAGGCATGGTTCAAAAAGAAGGGTAAGTTTAATACTTTCGTATGTTTCGAATCTAATTTAACTGAAGTTCCTTATAATATCTGGTGGATTGATTCTGGTTGTACCACTCATATTTCTAATATGTTGCAGGGATTCCTTACGACCCAAACCACAAATCCAAATGAGAAGTTCGTCTTTATGGGAAATCGAGTGAAAGCTCCAAATGAAGCTATTGGAACTTATCGCTTGGTTTTAGACACTAGAGCTCATTTAGATTTGTATCAAACTCTTTATGTACCCACTGTTTCTTGTAATTTAATTTCTTTGTCTAAGTTGGATTCAACATGATATTGCTTTAAGTTTAATGATGGGTGTTTTAGTTTGTACAAACAAAATTAGTGTTATTGGTTCTGGTATTTTATGTGATGGTTTGTACAAGTTAAAACTTGATAATCTTTTTGCTGAAACCCTCTTGACAGTGCATCATAATGTTGGAACTAAACGTGGTTTAGTGAATGAAAATTCAGCTTACTTATGGCATAAACGTTTGGGTCATATATCCAGAGAAAGATTGACAAGATTGGTAAAGAATGAAATTTTATCAAACTTGGACTTTTCTGATTATGATATTTGTGTGAATTGTATAAAGGGAAAACAAACAAAACAAACAAAGAAGGGAGCCACAAGAAGCACTAAGCTCCTTGAAATAATACACACCGATATTTGTAGGCCTTTTGATGTTCCATCTTTTGGTGGAGAAAAATATTTTATCACCTTTATTGATAATTTTTCCCGTTACGGATATGTCTATTTATTGCATGAAAAATCTCAATCAGTAAATGTCTTAGAGGTGTTTATCACTGAGGTTGAAAGGCAATTAGACACAAAAGTAAAAATAATTAGATCCGATAGAGGTGGTGAATATTATGAAAAATATGATGAAAGTGGACAATGTTCAGGCCCATTCGCCAAATTTCTTAAAAAGCGTGGCATATGTGCTCAATATACTATGCCAGGTACACCACAACAAAATGGTGTAGCAGAAAGGCGCAATCGTACTTTATTGGAAATGGTTAGGAGTATGATATGCAATTCATCTTTACCCATTTTATTGTGGATGTATGCCTTAAAAACTGCCATGTATTTGTTAAACAAGATTCCTAATAAGGCAGTTCCTAAGACTTCTTTTGAGTTATGGACTGGTAGGAAACCTAGTTTAAGACACCTGCATGTTTGGGGTTGCCCGGCAGATGTATGGATTTATATTCCACATGAAAAGAAATTGGATTTAAGAACAACCAGTGGTTTTTCATTGGTTATCCAGAAAAGTCTAAAGGGTATAGATTTTATTGTTCTAGTAATAGTACAAGAATTGTTGAAACTAGAAATGCTAGATTCATTGAGAATGGTAAAGTCAGTAGGAGTTTGGAACCACGAAAAGTGGAATTTCAAGAAGTTAGGGTTGAGATCCCTTTACATGTAACTTCTTATAAAATTGTTGCTCCTCTTATTGTTGAACAGTTAAACAATAATCAAGAACAACAACCTAATGACCAAACAACTCACAATGAAGACAACATCAATGAACCTGTTGTAGATGAGCCACAAGAAGCAGAATTAAGAAGGTCCCAAAGACC